AATATCAGTATCTATAAGAGCTAATCAATGAAAAAAATCATCTTTTCATTCCAGATTCATCCTAGCATCTCCATGTTTCCTTTCAGGATTTAGAAAAAAAAAAAAATACTGTATTTTGCAGAAAATACAGCATTTTTCATTCTCCGTTTAACATTGGGTGAGCACGTATCAAATGTAATACAGAAAAGATGGCTTACATTAGTAGTCTTGTCTTTAAATGATGTTTGTCAGCTCACTTCATGTTTATTTCCATTCTGAGTTGATAAACACTGATTAAGATCACAAATTAACTCTAAAATCCAAACTAGTTATAAAACTGATGGGAAATAAGCTAAACAAATAGTTGCCTTATTTCCCCTAGCAACAGTAATAAGTGTCACAATGGTTTTTAAAAAGGATGGTTCATGTTTAGGTTTAGTTATCAAAATCCCCAGCACATAGGCTGACAGCTTTTGAATTACATAAACTGTTTCTGTCCTTTTTGTTTCCATAGCAACTGAGTGCTCAAATCTTTAGTTCTGCACATGAGAAAGGGGAAAAAAAACAAAAGCACACCCTCTCTGTACAGGATCTGGAATTGTCTGAAACAAAAGAAAAACAGGAGAAAATGAAAAATAAACTACACTGAATTCTCTTCTACCCCCTCTACACATCCTCCCCCAATCTAAATAAAACCTAGTACCAAGCATTCTCTCCTTTTGATTTTATAGATGGCTTTTTCTTGAGATGCTGGGTGCTTTGCCTTGGACATTTATCTAATCAAAGGCTAGACTCATTCACTGTTTAGTGCTTTAGTAAAGTAAAACCCTCACAGTGACATTTATTTAGATGGCTACTATATTCACCTTGAAATGGCATTTCATTATAAATACAAGCTTGTTGGATACTCTTATTTCCTCTTGCATTACAGAGTACTGCTATTCGTATCACCAGGGATCTGTTTCTAGGTTTGGTTTGCTGAAAAACCTGTTTTATAGAGGAATGCTGTTTACTTCAAAATATTTTGGTAAGACTTGCCACAGCAGAGAATATTTTACCAAACTGAAAAAGATATTCAAGCATATGTGGAAGTATATTTAAATATAATTCAAATACAAAACATTCAGAGGGAATAAAATTAAAACAGAAACAAAAATACACTGAATTTACAGAAAGCATCCCATGGATAACATATACTGGACTAGGAATATATTGTAGATTAGATGAGAATTTCCAACCATAGTCAGTTTTACCATTTTTTCCCCCCTTCGAAAGCAAAGCAAAGAAGACAGCCCTGGATAATTCATCCCCAATAAACAGAACTATCAATGCATATTCAACAAATGAAAAGAACTGATTGCTTTCAGGTATTGAGAGGAATGACCTTAATGTTTTCCAGATGTGAAAATAAGCAGATTTAATCTTAGGCTTGCTGATTTGTCAAGTGGATATAATATGTATGAGGGAGAAACTACAACTTAAAGTGTACAAAGCATATTAAGTGCAGAAATACATTAGCATAAACATGCTATTCTATATCATTTCTATTACAAAAATGAACTTAATCTTTCTCTAATCTCTGACAAGAGGGGCAACAGTTTATAGTCCACTGTATGATGACATTACACTTGTTTTCAGATGAACTGTTCTTGATTTCCATTAGGCAAATGAAAGGCATTAGAGGGAAGTAAAAAGATTTGTTTCAGGAGCTCTGCGTATCAAAAACAGACTCTAAAATAACAAATACATTTGAAGTAGGTGTATATAGAATTGCGTATGGTAGTAATACTTTAAAAAATAGCCTGAAATAGGCTGTAGGTGAAGCAAGTTCTGTAGATTTTAAACCAAAACATCCTATATGATCCCAAACTCTAGCTGTTGTCTCAGTGGTCCATAACTTTGCTATTCCATTAACAACGTCAATAACTGTTAGATCCAAGATAATGCCAGAACATAAAACTACATATCACTCAGCTCATATAAATCAAGGGTTTTTGATTTAGAATAGAGTGCTGCTTATTGCAGTACCTAAAGCATATTTTTGAAAACTTTCATTGAATGTTTTTTTTTTTTTGTTTCTGTCTTCTGTGTCTTACTTAGACAAATAGCAAGGCACGTTAGATTTCCATAGACACTGCAAACACAGAGGACATTACGGAGAAAGCCATCATAACCTAAGCTATCTTTTGAAGTAATCTCGTGAATGTGTGACTCTCTCTAGTCATGGAAGAATTTAGTATTTGGCTGTGAACCTGCTATTCTAATAATTACGCTAGAACTATTGTCACACACAATTTTAATATGCTAGCAGTTATATAATCTAAATGTTAGCAGTTATAATCTCTAGATATAAACACATTTTCTCTCAATTACTCCTTTAAAAAAAAAAATTGTGTCTTCAAAAAGCATTTCCAAGTCAAAAGAAAAACTCTTCTACTTTGAGAAACGATAGAATGTAATTTTCTTTTGTTTTTCAATTGGAAAAACAGATATATGTTCTTATTCTTTTACAGCTGGAAGGGGGAGAGAGAGAGAGAGAAGCCAAGAGTTCAAGCTAAACGCTGTTCCAGACATCTCCTAGTGCAGCGCTAAGCTCACAGCTAAAGTGTGCATAGAAATCATTGAGGTAGCTTAGTTCTGAAGAAATAAACTATCCACTTAACAATCTTGCTCCAATACGTCTGTTGTCGTAAAACATGATGACATCTGAGCATGATTTATCATCAGAAATGACCGCTGCTTTAATAGAAGAAAATTTTCCTCAGTAAAAGACTTTTTTCCCTTTCTAAAGAATTCACAATAGTACCAGCGTAATTTTTAGAATAGCAGTAATTATTAGAATAGCAGCCAAATACTAAATTCCTCCATGACTGGAGAGAGTCATACATCCACAAGATTACTTCAAAAGATAGTTTAAGTAACGATGGCTTTCTCCACAATGTCCTCTTTGTGTTTGCATTGTCTATCTTGCCTTGCTATTTGTCTAAGTAAGACACAGAAGACAGAAACAAAAAAAAAAAAAAACATTCAATAAAAGGCAACAGGATATTTCTTCATCAAATAATTCTTTTCCATCTGTTTTATGATAGCACTTATTTTCTAAAGTTATCATACTATTTATGATGATTTTAAATTTCCTTTTGCCATGAAAATCATTATTTCACAAATTTCTACACTATCAATAAATGGTTTTATTTGGTTTTTAAAAAGATTTTTTGCCATCATTGCCAGCCTCTCCTCAAGTATTACTTAATTATATTCAAGTATATTGAAATTTATTACTAGCTATATGGTTTCACGTGAAGTTAAATTGTATGGTCTATTTTAGAATTTTTTAGTGGCTCAGTTTTCAGAGAAGTATCTAGATTATTTCTTTTTTTCTTATTGCTATCTCACAAAGATATTGCAGAAAAGAAAATGCTTATTTTAATTTCAAATCACATTTCAGACAAGTTTGTACTTGTTTCATGTTTCAAGCAAAACTCTAGTTACGTTTAATGGAAGAATTCAAAGCATGAAATAGTCCTGCTCTTGTTAAATCCACTGTCTGACTGCAAAAGAGGTCTTCAAACAGCAAGCTATATAAATGCTAATAGATGACCACTGCAGGAAAAAAAAAAAAAAAAAGAAAAAGAAACATACATATGAACAAAAATAAGGAGACTAGCCTTACCCTCACCCAATCTCTCTTCTGATTCAACTTGTTTTCTACATAGAATGCATCTATGCATCCCACATGATGAACAGAAGCAATTTTTAAGCTTTTTTTTTTTTTTTTACCAGCTTAAAATGTCTCTACACTTTAACATAGCTCTCCAGTTATTTTTGTGACCACTTCCGAGTATTATTCCTTAACTTTTGATCAGCTATTCTGCATCATTTTTACATATTCTTAGGTTTGTAATTCCATAATTTAAAGCAGTCAGAGAATGCAGGACATAGGTATGCCTATGTTCGTTCTCATGATTATTATGTATTGGGATATTTTTAACAATCTGCATGTATATGATAAGCATAAGAATGGAAATGTTCATGCTGGTACACTTTTATAGCACAGACAAATTTGTATGTAGACAGCATCATCATTTTAAAGTCCGTGCTGAACACGAGACCTCTGCAACAACAGAAGAGAAAGGAAGGATTTACTATTCAATTATGTAGGCCCGCAACATTAGAGATGGATGCTGGTAGTATGATAGTAGAGTTTGAACCTCCTCACCAATATTTCATTGCATTTTGTTACCATGCAACAGATGGATAGTAAAAGGGCAGTCTGAAAAATCTACTGGCACTGAAGCGCATATGAAGCAAAGGTGCATAACAAAATTCCTCTATGCAGAAAACTTAGCATCCATTTACTTTCATCAATGCTTTCTGAACATTTATGCATTTATGGAGACTAAACACAGAAGAGCACAGTGAGGTGTTGGGTGGATCACCTCCACATTATCAAGCTTGCGCAGCATGCGAGCACCTATTCATTACCAGCAAAAATGCATAACTAATGGTGGTGACTACTCTGGACAAAACAGAGTTTTGTCTCTGAGAATTTGCTCTATCAAATAGTGCTATTGTGGTCTTGGTATGTGGTGTTGTTCCCATATAAATAAACAGTAAGCATCACTTTCAGAGTGAATTACATAATATAAAAACAATAATAAAGAAAACTGTATGCTACTGAAGTTAAGACTCTTCAAACCAAAATAAATACATATGTAAATTAACACATTTACTCATACTCTTACATCTGAGTGACATGCACTTGTTTATCAACAAATGTATACATATATCAGGGATGTGATATACTCATGTATAGAACATATAGAAGAGGGGTGTTATTTCAAGAATTTGAAGAGGTTGGAAGAATTGAGATGTAGCATGCTGCATAATAAGCATATCTAGTTAATGCTCTGTTCTGCTCACAAAGAAGCAAAACTACTTCTGACAAGTTCTCATCAATACTGGGGAAAGTAATTGCAGATAGACCAATAACAATATACAAAAAGAAGAGCTGAACTCACCCTGTTGGTGAAGGGTATCACTTGCCATATAACACCCCTCCTCAGAAAGCAGCCAAGGTCTAAGAGCTATTCATTCTTCCCTAGCTGGCCATTATATGAACCCAGGGTGGCTCCAACCCTGGGTCCACCTTTCATGGGGAACACAGGTGCAAACAACTTGCCTGTTCTCCCTGGCCCAGCCACATTCCTTCACCAGGTTCTCAATCACCAAGTCAAACTCTGACCTAACAATTCCCCTATGTGCTCATAAAAAATTCCACTAGAATGTAAAGTTGCATCATTTGTGATAAAAAAGATAACCAGGAATGTTGTTTCACAGTACTGTAAGCAAATCACAGAATTCCAAAGCTAAACACCAGTAAATCCTTATGGGGTAAGTTCAAATTGAAATTGAACTTCACAGAAAAGACCATTGTTCACTTTTTCTTAACCAGAATTTGAGATGTAACAGCTCTAAGCAAAAAACCACAGTCATGGAATCATAGAATTCTCAGAGTTGGAAAGGACCTCTGAGGACTATCTAATCCATCTCCCCTGCAATGAACAGAGGCAAGTACAGCTAGATTAGTTTGCTCAGGGCTTGATTCCACCTTACCTTGAAAATCTCCATGGACAGGACATCCACTACATTTCTGGGCAACCTGTTCCAGTGCCTCAACACCATCACTGTAAAAGACTTTTTCCTTACATCTAACTTAAATGTATTCTATTTAAGATTGAAACCATTTCCCCCTTGTTCTAACACAACAGACTCTGCTAAAGAGTTTGTCCCCTTCTTTCCTGTAGCTCCCCTCTAGATATTGAGAGGCCGCTATCTGGTCAGCTTGGAGCCTTCTCCAGGCTGAATAGCCCCAGCTCTCTCAGTCTGTCCTTGTAGGAGAAGTGTTCCAACCCTTGGAACATTTTTGTTGCCCTCCTCTAGATGTGCTGCAACATCCCTATATCACTTCTGTACTGAGAACACCACAGCTGGTTGCAGTACTCCAGGTGAGGCCTCACTAGTGCAAAGTAGAGAGGCAGGATAACCTCCCTTGACCTGCTGGTCATACATCTTTTGATGCAGCCAAGGATACGGTTGGCTTTCTGGTCTGTGAGAACACATTGCTGGCTTATGCCCAGCTTGCCACTGACCAGTATTCCTCAGGTCTTTTTCAGGGTTGCACTCAATCCTTTTGCCCCCAAGACTGTATTCGCAGTATATGTTGCCTCAACTCAGGTGCAAGACTTTGCATTTGGATTTGTTGAACCTTGTTCACCTGGACCTACACTCTAGGACCCTCTGGATGACATCCGCCCCTCTGGTATACGCTTTGAGATATTCCCAATGGAAATAATAGCCACAAATAAAACCACTTGTATTTTCATTAAAAAGAAAAAAAAAAAAAACATAGACAGCTATAGATATACAGTTATATTGTTACTGCATGTTATATTAATAGGATGTAAACAGAAATTCCAGGAACTTGTTATTACAGTGCAACAAATACCGTTTTTCAGCTGTGTGACTGTGTACATGCTTACACAGGAGACAAACAGCCACGGTACACATAAAGCATTAATATGCAACACTTGGAGGAAAAAAGATACTCATCCTGACCAGGATCTTTTGTGGGAAACTTCCATTAACTCCTGTGGAGCCAACTTTTCCTTGAAGGAAGGAAGGTTCTGATTCAAGTATTGAAGGTTCAACCGGTTCTCAGTTCTCAGTACATATGCAGTCATTCTACACCTACAGTACAAGTACAATACTCCAGAACATCTGGGTCCATTGCAATATTGTGCACAGCACAAAATGGCGTGTGAGGCATGATCCGTTCTTGAGTTCTCTTTTGGAAAGAGGCATGACAAGTTAAAAAGGTTATTACAAAATATATATCCTATCCAGAATTATAGAATCATGGAATGGCTTGGGTTGGAAGGGATCTCAAGGACCATCAAGTCATTAAGTTCTAACCCCATGGCCCCGTGCTGCGGGCGAACTGCCAGATCAAGTACCAGATCATGTTGCCCAGAGCTCCATCCAACCTGGCCTTTAACACCTCAACGGACAGGGCATCCACAACCTCTTTGGGCAACATATTCCATCATGTTACCACCCTCTCAGTGAAAAACTTCCCCCAGACATTTAATCTAAATCTTCCCTCTTATAGTATAAAACCATTCCCCATTTTCCTATCACTATTTACTCTTGTAGAAAGTTGACTTCCCTCCTGTTTATAATCTCTTTAAATACTGGAAGGCTATAAGGAGGTCCCACTGCAAGCCTTCTCTTCTCTGGGCTGAACAAGACCAGCTCCTTCAGCCTGTCTTCATAGAAGAGGTGCTCCAAACTTTGGATAATTTTCGTGGCCCTCCTTTGGGCTGTCTCTGAAAGTTTTTCTGTATTAGGTTCCCCAGACCTACATGCAGTACTGGAGATAGGGCCTCACAAGGGCAGAATAGAGAGGGACAATCACCACCCTCACTCTACTGGCCACCCCTCTTTTGATATAGCCCAGGATACCATTGACCCATAAGTTCTTCTCAGCAGGCACTATCCCAACCCAAGTGCAAAACCAAGTGCTTTGCTTTCTTGAACCTCATTAGGTTCACATGGGCCCACCTTTTGAGTTCATCAAGGTCCCTCTGGATGGTATCCCTTCCTTCTACTGTAACAAAGCACTTCTCAGCTTGGTGTCATTAGAAAACTTGCTGAGGGTGCACTTGATCCCACTGTCTATGTCATTGATAAACATGTTAGTGAGTACCAGATCCAAGATGCACCCCTGGGGGATGCCACTCGTTTTCAGTCTACACCTAGACATAGAGTCATTGACCACAGTCCTCTGGCTGTGACTTTCCAATCAATTCCTTATCCAACAAATAGTCCACTCTTCAAATCCATTTCTCTCCTATTTAGAGATACAGATGTGATGAGGATCATGTCAAAGGCCTTGAAGTAGTCCATGTAGATGACATCAGTTACCTTTCTTTGCTGAGTTTCAAACCACATGTCCATACTGCCAAAAAAAGAGTTCTTGAAACATTTGTCATTTCCAACAACCACATAAGGAAAGGCTCTTTTATCATTTTACAAATCTTTATAAGAGATAAAAATTTCTATGGCAGAATGTACATATATTCTAGTACTATATCTGAACTGATTTCTCAACTATTTAACATACATGATAATCAAGGGGCTGAAATGAAATTAGTGATGGGTTTCTTTGGCAAGCTTACCCACTCTGCACTCAAGTGTTCTCTAAGTTCATGTTTTACACTGATATTTAAGTAGTAGAAAAAAAATAAGCTGGAAAGACAAGGAATAACATATTTTGCAGTTCTAGATTGGGACATGAAATGTCACAAAAGAAAACTGATTAAAATTTATCTGATTTTTTTTTTTTTTCCAGAATCAGGGAATGGTTGAGAACAGAAGGAACCTCTCAAGGACATCAGGTCCAAGATCCTTTCTCAAGCAGGTTCACCTTAGATCAGGCTGTCCTGAATCATGCCCAGATGGCTTTCCTCCATGGTTGGAAATTCCACAACCTATCTTGGCAGTCTATTCCAGTGGTTAAAATTAGTGATCCAATAAACGTTGTAAAAGGTGATTGAAAATGCATGCACTTGAGGGTCCAGATCTTTATCAAAGATGTCACCTGTACTAATTTTACTATTTTCCATTTATTTGCTAGTTTTTGTTTGTTTTCTGTATTTTATTTGCTTAGCTTGCTTTCATAAATGCAGATACATTCAGGGCAGATTCACATAAATAATGACTTTCTTTGTTTTTCTTTTTTTCCTAATGAAGCTTTTCAAATTACAATCTGCCCCTATTATATGAGACTAGTATAGAGAGTCAGAGGAGATAATATAGAACTGCTTCCCAGGTTTCATTTAAAGTAATCACTGAGTAACTGAGTTAATTATGCATGAATGCTTATGCCTACCACAAATAAACATTCCTCAGAGTACTGGTCTTCAAGAATATGCAACAGCACTGTTCTTAGTATGATATGAGTGACACAATTTCACTATGGGAAAATTAAGAATGAATAAATGCAGATTCATTCCTTGCATTCTATATGTGAAAATTGAAAGATTTGTTTTTGAGACCCTGTCTACGTTTGAGCAGGTGGATTTTAAAATGAATTTTCATTTTCAGTAAGCACAGGAGAACTGGCTAGTTTACCCTTGTAAAAGAGAAGTTGTATTTGTTGAGAATGCACTGTTCAGATTCACGGAGAGAGTATGCCCTCAATTTCACTGCACTATTGCAGTGTTCATTCAACTGATGAAGTTCTCAACGAAAGGGCAGCACACACTTTGTTCTAAGTTCCTGCTGGAATGAAAAAGCTGACAGAGGGAAACTTGCACAAAAGACATTGTGCTGTTAAAGTTTGCTCAAAGCGACAGTTGTCAGATCTCTTTGAAATGAAATTGAAAAGGAAAAACCAATTTTCTTTGATGACAAAGTTCAGCTCATTTTGTGTGCTATACCTGTCTAATTTGCTTCTATGTAAAAGAAATTATAACTAGATCTATTTGACAATATAGTTTATACTGGTACAGGCATGGATCATAATATTTCTTTCTGTTTTGCATCATATTTATAGGCAATAAATAAAAATGAATTTCTTCTGTTAAAAAGAATAAGTATTATAATTTTACTTTATCCTTTTATCCTATCAAATGTAATTTGTATGGCCTAGACTTGATTTGAAAACATAATGTTCAGTGTTTTCTTTATTCATATTTTTGGCAATTAATAAATAATAAGATTTTATATATTTCAGGGGTGAAATGAGTTCCTAGAGAATTTAAGCAATTGTGTGAAGATGTAAATGTTAAATTGAGACAAATTGTAAATACAAGTTTCTTATATATTTTGAAATATGTTAATGAAATATGCATTGATTTGAGTTTGGATAATAGTAAAATATGAATATATTATGATAAAATATAAGCTACAATGCCTTAATCATAAGATTATATAATTTCTATTATATAATTATTTCTATTTAAAAATTTTCTATTCTATTATAAAAATTGCTATTATATATATTATTATTATATATGATTATATAATTTCTATTATTATAATTTTGGAAATAAGTTAATAAAGCCTGCTTTATGCCAGACTTAATGTCTGGATACAGAAGACTTGGGAATATGGAAAAATAATATGAAATGTGTCATTCAGAG